CACAAAGCATCATGTTCACAGACAGATGTTGGAGGGTTTTGTGTCCAGGTTTAAAATAACAGAAAAAAACTATTTATGGTGTCACAACAAGTCGAGTGAAGCTCCTAGTTATGTGTTTTAATGCCTCTCAGACCAACAGTTACATTTTGTTTTTATTTGATTTAAATTTGTTATTGGTATATGAGTGGACGTTATCCCTCCTTATTATGAAGCATACGGGGCCTAAAAAGGACATGAGGAGAAATTGACCCAACGATTTTCTGTGATGCTTCGACGAAATCCAAATAGCAAATTTAGAAAGTGAAACCTAAAATGTTTAAGAATGATGAGCCAAACATTGAATAACCAAAACGAATGGTACAGTAACAGAAAGATGAACAAACCAGAGAACTACCTGATCGATACTGATTAAAGAAAACCTCCCAGATTTGACTAAATACATTTCTTTTATTCTTTATTATTATTATTTATTTTATTTTATTCTATATTTTTATATATTTTTTTCTACATTGTATGTCCTTTCTTGCTTCTCATAGAAGTGTTGTTCACCAAAGACCAAGGCAAATTCCTTGTAAGTCTAAAAACCTACTTGGCAATAAACCTAATTCTGATTCTGATTCTGATAATCTGTCATTTTTAGCCCCCAAGTCCCGAACAGTCTGATGCTGAGGCTGATGAGGAAGAGGAGGAGGAAGAGGAGGAGCAGAAAACAGCCTATCAGAAGCTTCTCTCAACTCTGAGTGAAGCCCAGAGTGAAGAAGAGGAGAGCAGTGAGGAGGAAGAGGAGGAGGAGGAGGAGCTTATCGAAGAAGAAGGTAATCTGTTTGTTTTTTTTTGTTTTTTTTTGTTTTTTAAACCAGACTTCCATTTGGTCTGTTCCTATTGGCTGAAAACACTCATCCCTGTAGATGGAGAAGGGAGTGACGATGGAGCTGAAGAAGAGGAGGCACCAGATGAGGAAGAGGGAGTAGAAGAAGAAGAGGGAGTACAAGAAGAGGAAGGAGTAGAAGCAGAAGAGGAGGGAGGGGATGAATTTGTGGACAAGGAGCATGAGGCTGACTTCTGTCTGGAGACTAATTTCACAGAACCGGAGGAACATCAGGAGGAATCTGAAGACACAACAGGTGGGAAAGAAGCAGGCAAATATTTAAAATCCTCAACTCTTCCAAAGAAAAAGGTCTGGAAATGCAAATGTGTTTATCTTTTTTTACCTTTCAGACACATTTTTCCAACATTTGGACACAGAGCTGAGTGAGGAGGATGTAGAAAAGATCTCATCTGGATCCAAGTCTAAGACCCAGATAGAGGTATGAATCCCAGTTTATTATGTTTTAACTTCATCTTTATCTCAAT